AAAATTGCTACCCCACTGTTAGACATGTATAATGAATCCTTTCCGTACAGCCTCAGGTCCGCTTTAATAATGGTGGTTCTTAAACCAGATAAGACACCAACGAAGTTTGACTCCTACAGGCCAATATCTCTTTTAAACTCAGATATTAAGATTATTTCTAAAGTTTTAGCACTCTGATTAGAGCAATACCTACCTTCTATTATAAACGATGATCAGTGTGGCTTTGTCCAAAATAGGCAGGCCTTTCATAACATTAGATGGGTCCTGAACATTTTGTATGAACGAGAGGGAACTGAAGACTCCTGTATTCTGTCACTGACTCTGAAAAGGCATTCGACAGAGTCGAATTGCCATGTCTGTTTGAAGTTCTCTCTCGGTTTAGGTGTGGCACTCAGTTCTGTCACTGGGTCAAAACTTTGTACACAAGGCCAACAGCAGAAGTCATCACTAACAATTTTATCTCCACCTTTCGAATTAACACGAGGAACACACCAGGGATGTCCACTTTCACCCCACCTCTTCATTTTAACAATGGAACCTTTCACCATAGCAATCAGAACCTGCTTAGATATAAAGGGTATATGTTTGTACATTGCCTACAAATTCTAAGAAACTAGTATGGAGTGATGATTTACAAAGTGCTACTAGTGAAGAAGATTGGAAATATAGTTGCCTATACACTCATAATCTTTCAATAAATACAGGTCTTAAATAAATTCAGTATAACTGGTTGATGAGAACTTATATTACTTCAAAAATAATTGTGCAAAATGAACCCAGATATCCCAGACATACAAAGGGAACGTTATTTCATTGTTTATGGGAGTGTATAGAGATACATAACTTTTGAAGGCATTTCCAGGATTTTCTCCTAAGAAATAACAACTTGTCCAAAACTGTGTATTCTAGGTTTTTACCCAGAGACCCTATCGCTTACAAAACATGAAAGCAAAATGGTAGACCTCTGTCTAATATATGCTAAGTGCCTGATTAGCACACACTGGAAAAGTATATCGGCACCTTCGGTGAATGCATGGCTGAAAGAGTTGTCTTCCTGTCTAATCCTGGAAAGGATAACTTACAAGATAAAAAGGAAAATGAGATTTTTCGTAAAATATGGAAATTGTTTATGAAATTTAAGGAGGAAGTAGATATTGAGTCACCACCTTGACATTCACTGTCCGCTCTATTAGACACTCCTACCTTGTCAGTCCACCTTGTAGATGTAAAGTCAGAGACGATAGCTCATCTGCTGCTGCACAGTTTGTGTTGGTCATCCTCTAGTCCTTCATCAGTGGTCACAGGACATTGCTCACAGGACGTTGCTCACAGGACGTTGCTCACAGGACGCTGTTGGCTGGACACATCACCACCACATCAGTGTTACTGCAGTGCTGAGAATGATCCACCACCCAAATATTACCTGCTCTGTGAGGGTCCATGGGGGTCCTGACCACTGAAGAACAGGGTAAAAGGGGGCTAACAAAGTATGCAGAAAAACAGATGGACTACCGTCTGTAATTGTACAACTACAATGTACATTGTGTAGTAACGCCAGTTTGAACTAATGTTATAAGCTATGAGATGGCAGGAAGTTGGGGGAAGTGTACATTGTGTAATGTTATGTTCCAAAATGCCTCTGGATGCAACATCAGCAAAAGAACTGTGTGTTAGGAACTTGGGTTTCCATGGCCGAGCAGCTACACACAAGCCTAAGATCAAAATGTACAATGGCAAGTGTTTGGGGGACTGGTGTAGAGCACACTGCCAGTGGACTCTGGAGCAGTGGAAATGTATTCTGTGGAATGACAAATCATGCTTCTCTATCGCAAGTAATGGACAAGTCTGGGTTTGGCGAATGCCAGGAGAACAGTACCTACCTGACTGCATTGTGCCAAGTGTAAAGTTCGGTGGCGGTGTGATAATGCTGTGTAGTTGTTTTTCAGGAGTTGGCTTAGGCCCCTTAGTTCCAGTGAAGGGAAATCTTAATGCTTCAGCATAGAAAGACATTTTGGACAATTGTATGCTTCCAACTATGAGGTAACAGTTTGTGGAAGGCCTGTCTCTGTTCCAGCATGGCTGTGCCCCAGTGCACAAAGCAAGGTCCATAAAGGCATGGTTGGGTGAGTTTGGTGTGGAAGAACGTCACTTACCTGCACAGAGCCCTGACCTCACCCCCATCAAACACCTTTAGGATGAACTAGAGTGGAGATTACAAGCCAGGCCCCTTTTATCCAATATTAGTGTCTGACCTCCCTTACAAAAAAGAAGTTTAATCAAGTGTGCTATTAGTATACTTCTTTCAAACTAAAAAAACTGGAAAAGTATTTTTAGTATACTTTTATGTACTTATCAGAGATATACTACACAAAATTATACTTAAGTACACTTGGCCTATACTTACATTTGTACATACATTCAGCCTATACTTGTACTTAATCCTTTGTTCAAGATGTACTTAAGAAAAGTATAAATAAGTATAAAGTTACAGTCTCTAATGCAACAGAGTAGCATTACGGCACAGCAGGCAGCGCTGTTGCCTCACAGCAAGAAGGGCCTGGGTTGAATTCCCTGGACGGGTGACCAGGGTCCCTTCTGTGTGAAGTTTCCTCCGGGTACACCAGTTTCGTCCCACAGTCCAAAGACACATGGTCAGGCCAATGTATATATATAATTTTACTTGTGGTATACTTCAAAGTATACTTATATAAACTAAAAAATGGGCCAAATTAGTCCTAAAAAGTACTGAAATAGTACACTTGCAAGTATACTACTAGTACATTAATAGTATTATAATTACTACATAAAGTATACTTGGGAAATATACTTGAACTTTACTTAAGTTTACTTAATAAAAACTTCAAGTATACTTTTTTGGTAAGGTCCTCACAAATGCTCTTCTGGATGAATGGGCAAAAATTCCCACAGACACACTCCAAAATCCTGTAGAAAGCTTCCCAGAAGAGTGTAAGCTGCTATAGCTGCAAAAAGTGGAACCAACTCCATATTAATGCTTTTAGAATGGGATGTCATAAAAGCTTCTGTGGGTGTAATGTGTATGTATCCCAATACTTTTGTCTATATAGTGTAAATGGAAACTTTATGTGCCTACCTTTTGTTTAATTAATTAATCATAAACCTTGTGGAATCTTTGTGAGGTATAGGCAAACATGCTTAGAATCTCACAGGGATCTGAGACAGTGCCAAATGAATGCAACTTAGTCTAGTCCAAAAAGGGAAGATCTGGGCACTGCACATAGGTTATTTTACTCTCAGAATGAATGTCTCTTGGCAGGCACATGCTACTTAATTAATACCAGAGAAATATGTGGATGATGATGCACTCAAAGACACACAAAGATTAACCTCCAGGTTATATAGGCAACTCACACTTACCCAACAGTTTCAGTACTAGGCAGAGCTAACACACTTGTTGTGTAATTACTTGAGGCAGCTTTCTTTAACATTGTTTCTCATGCAACACACACACAACAGTAAATGTTAGATGTTACTGCAATGCAGCTACCAGAGTTTTTCTTTAGACTCCTCAGACAACAAAGGCAATCTGAAACTTCAAAAATAACTCTATATGGGGTGTGTAGTGTGTATGAGTATGTGTGATTATTTCAGTTTGCTTAGTGGGCAGGTAGGTTTCTAATCCTCTACCCAGGTATCCTTTCATCCTATGAGATTTCGCAGTGCTAAATATAGGAATGATTGCAACTGCAACTTTTTTTAGCTGACATTATAGTTAAGTCCTGGAAGATGTTACTTCAAAAATCTTCAACAGATAATTTGGAATGGAAGTACAGAAAATTACATCTATTTGTAAAGAGTGGATCACTGGATACCCAGCTTTATTGACAGGAGGATGAGAAGAACCTGTAACTTGGCATGTATTGCTAGTGATACTGTGAGTATACTAATAAAAAGCCATGCTATGGATTGAATTGTGTCATTGTTACATTAAACCAAAAAATCAAAATAGGCATTTTTTACACTGATGCCCTTGGTTATATTAGGCATGACTTATCATATATTGTTTAAATGAAAAAAATATTTATTTTTCTGTAATCTTTGAAGTGTGGTCACTTTTGCACACCTCAGAAATGTGTGAATCAAATGTGAGTTTTGATTACCTCGCCTTGCACCAGCAGGTAGGGACAAATAATATTAACCAGTATTATCAGCTTGCACCTGCCTCTTCCATCACCCCCACCTATAATTGTGCAAAAATTTAACAAGACCACTCATGCAAACTGTGTCTCTTTACTGCGAAGACCTCATGCTGAATGAACAGACAGTTTTATGATAGTAAACACTTTTATTGCTGTTCATAAAAGATTCCTATTGTACTGTTTATTCACTTCCCACTTCCTTACTGCTAAAATACATGGGCAAATAATACTCTAAGGCTAATTTTACATATCACTAACATTACATCTAAGCCAAGTAGGCACAAAAACACAGAAAACAAAGAAGTCCTAATGAAATGGCCTTCAGTGAGCATTACAGAAGACCTGGAAACACCTGAAAACAGAACTGTGAATACATATACTTTATCCTGAAAGTGTTTATAAAGAGAACAAACAGAAAATGAGAATGTGACGTCCTCTGTTAGTATCAGTTACATCTAGCTGAACATGCAGCTCAGTGAAAAGTTTTTTCTTGTTTTGTTTTACCAAGACGAATCTTACAGCAGCAAGACACAAGTCTAATTTTTCTGTGAAAGTGACAAAATTCACACCTATGAAAGAAAAAAATGTCATGAGCTGACCTACTAATTTTCTTTTCATAAACACATTGTTTACAAAACTACAACCTAAATTTTATACAAAACATGACTGTGACAGCTATTTATTTGTATTTTTAAAATTTTATTCACATTGAAGGCAGCTTATATTGAATTTGTCTGTCCCAGGATTTTTTTTCTTTTATGTGTGTCAGCTATATTTTTTCCATTTGTACACCTTTCCCTCCAAACTGCATACAGTTTACAAAAACTACATGGAGAGTTTTATTTTGGTAAACTTATTTTCTCTTGCTTTGTAATTTCTCTAGAATCTCCAAAGTCCTGTTTTCTCGAAGACACCACCCCACCCCACCTCCACTTAAAAATAACCCAAAACAATTCTTCTGTACTGAATCTCGTTAGCCTCTGAGATGGACTGTGTCTGGCACAGGATTTGTTTGTCACTCCACTGCCACTTTTCTTGCTCTCTCCTTCATTCTATACACCTTAACCTCAGTTTCGTCGGTAGCGATTCTTGGGCTTCTCCCCACAGCCGGTAGCCTCACAGGAGGACAAGGTGGGGTTCTTACTGGAGTTGATGCTGCTAAGAAGGCCAGGCAGATCTTCTGTAATTGCCTTCTCAATCTTATCCAACAGGCAGCCACCTATGTATGAACACTGGGCAGAGAGCTGCTTGAAACTGGTCACTGGGTTAATACCAAAGAAGTCACGGTAAGCATCACGGTTGGGCAAGTCAAACTTGCTAACATTGGTCTTTGCCAGAATAGACTTGAAAATGTAGAATTTGTCTGGGTCATCAACGATTTCCTTGAACACTAACTCAGGGTCACTGAAGAAACTCATCTTCTCCTTGAATGTCTGCACGTAACGGTCTACAAGGAGGCCATGGATGCGCACGCGGATGCCGTGCTGACGGATGAAGGCGATTTTGTTTTCCAGGCGGTTCTCAATCACTTGGTTCAGGTCTTCTAGGAGGGAAATCTCCTCGCGTTTGAAAAGTTCACGACTGGTGTTAGGAGCATAGTCGTAGGGCCAGAAGGAGCTGACATACACCCGTGGGGGTTCTGTCACATTGATAAGAGGTGCCAAGCTCCAGAACAGGGCACCATACACACGCATGAGATCCTGGGTGGCCAGGCTGTCTGCCTTGTTGAGGATAATGCGGATCTGGGACTCCCGACCTTTCAGTTGCCTGAAAAGCATCTCAAGCTCAAGGCCAACATCCAGCTTGGTGGGGTCGAATACCACAAAGATCAGGTCTGCACGGTCAATGAACCACTGACACACATCATTAAATGGATAGCCTGTGAAGATAAAGAAGGTTGGTGGAATGTTTATCATTATAAGAACAATTAGAACAATGATCATTGGTGAATGATGGTGATGCTAGATCATACCAGTGCTTGTGATTGGCTAGTATAGTATAAATTGGATGAATCATTATTTTCTGAAAGTAATTAAATGCAGAAAGAGAGAAACCAAAAAGTAAAGTAGGAATTGTCGATTCATAGGTTTCTGAAGAACCTAGGACAGTCAAGTCAAAGTTTATTTATGTGGCGCTGTTTGCAACAGGTGTTGTCACAAAGCAGCTTTACAAAAAATCCGGGTCCAAGCCCCAGTGGCAGGGAAAACTTCCCAAGCGCAGGGGCAAGAAAAACCTTGAGAGAAACCATGACTCAAAGGGGGAACCCATCGCCCTCTGGTGGGCACCAGCATTATTTTTGATTCTGATCTAAGTTTTACATCACATATTGATAATGTCAGTGAGATGACTTACCTTCACCTGACACTGCAGGATACTAATTAATTCTACCAGGTTTCCATTCCAGCCCATAGTAGCGTAACTATTCAGTTCTTTGATGACTGAGACCAAATGATTAAACAAGTACTTGATTAAGCCAGGTATGATTTGCTTGATTGGAATGTAAATCTGTAGCCATTTTCTTTTTGTCTTTGATACCTTTTTCCTCCTCTTTATTTATTATTGTATTTTGTCTTTCCCGGATTATTTTGTATTTTGTAGTTCCTTTATAAAAGACTTATGCACAGTTAATTTTAAATCATAATTTAAATGTTTTTATTTGACTGATAATCACAATGATTCATAAATAATAATAATAATAATAATAATAATAATAATAATAATGTGGTTGTTGTTGTATAAATCCTTCAGTCTATCAAGTCTTTTCTTATGCATTTAGTTATATACAAAAATTTAGGTGCCTCTACTCAAATGACATTTTGTTGATTTTCTAAGTGAAAATAAATACACAGTTTAAGTTTGTATCCTGATGCATTATCTTATTGTCAATTAGGAACTCAAGAAAACTTATAATTTGACCAGGGGATTTGAAACTTTTTCATACAACTATACATGGAGAAGACTTTTGACCCTTGTTTTTTTATAGTACCTCTCTCCTGCTGCTTGCGGTTCTCAATGATTCCAGGAGTGTCCACAAAGGTAACACGCTCCAGGAGCTTGTGAGGCATCTCAATGCCAATTAACTTCTCCAGAAAGTTCTGGCCAAATTTCTCCAGTGGTGAGAAGGAGCGAGAGCTGTCAGCAGCCATTACAATACCCTCCACAGACCGGATCTTCTCACCATGCATGATCACAGTAAACTCAGATGTAGTGGGCTCAGCTCCTGTAAGAAAGTTCATTTGAAGGTAATTATAATGACAGATAGGTGGAAACATCAGAGGATAAATACAAAACAGGGCTATATATGTGTGGACTGAAATGAACCTGTGTATAGTTGGTAAGGAGTGTCCTGAAGTCCCAGCAAATAGTTGATCATGGAGGACTTGCCTACACTCCAAGGGCCAAGGAACAGCACCATGGGTTTGGAGGTGATCTCTCCATCTGAAAAATAAAAAGGTGGAGAATGAAATAAACATTCTTCAGAAATTTGCCATATTCTGGTGTCTACTAAAACGAGAACAAGTGGTCATCATTGCCAAAACATGAGCCAACATACTAATTGCTTTCACAAGACCAATGATATAGAGCAAGCAAAGCAAGCAGTACAAAACACAAGGCTTCAGGGAACATACACATCTTCATGCACTCCATGTACATCATCAGGAGTAAGTGTCTTAAATGTTCCCTGCCATGCTCGACCAAAAGCACAGAGCAAATGTGCCATCTGCCTCAGCTAACACTTTTAAGCACATTAAACTAACATGAAGCAAAAGCAACATAATACAATAACAGACAAAATAAACATGGGCTCAGTGAAATTGTATTATTCTAATCCTGGGGGACTATTAGGTTCAGCTAGGTGTCAAATAATGTTAAAAAATTACAAGTATGATGCGATGGAAAGTCAAGGACACAAAAGGCTTAAATAAGATCAGAAACATTACCAGAATACTTCAACTATAAATACAGCCAACATTGCCATCCTGATGTTAACTGCCCCTTACTGGCTTTCATTCATTAATCCATAAAGTATTCCTTTAAATGTGGAATGAAATCAGAAAAGCAGGTCCAGCCTCTGAGAGGAAGCATGTACAATGTAACATCTTAAGAGCAATTAGAGTTACTCAGCACAGAGAAAACAATATCTTCTTTGCTGTACCCTGCTACCTGTCACATTAATACTACACAATCACTGGCCATACAGTCCATCAAAACCATTATTCAGATCAGTTCTCCTAAGCTTCAGAGAACAGGCACCCGAACTTATCACATGTCTTATCCTTCTATTGGCTTCAGTATACAGAAAAAATCGTATTTTTATTGTGCAGTTTAATGTTCGGGGTAAAGAAACTTATGCTAGAAAAAATCTCTAAATATCTTCCTCTTTTTAAAGGAAGCATGTATGAAAAAGTTTTATAAAGTAGCATGTCTGTCTATTAGATAATGTATCAGATACTGTACAAGGTTAACTAATGTGTAGTTCAATGGGATGACTAGTTAAATTTTAACTTGCTTCCTCAAGTGACAAAAATGATTTTAATTATACACTATATATAGAATAGGGACGTTTCCTGAAATCTCTTGAAATTACACTGCTGACAACATGATTTCTAAAATATATATAAAATGTATGTATATGACTCTTAGAATGGATGAAGCAAATATTTGCACTGTTGGATGAATGTTCAAATGCCACTGAGCACACTTTACATGGCCCCAGAGGGAAATCAACGTGGCATGAAATCACCATAGCATTCATTCAGGTTGAATTGTTGCAACCATGGCTTGCTGGTTGTTGCTAGCTAGCAATATGCTGCAGGGGGTCAGACGCTCAGGCAGGGGCCATGCAGTAGACGTCCCCATCATACCCACCTGTGGCCGAATCCCCCAGGGTGCGTCCAGGATAGGCTGTTTAGTGAAGTAGGGGGGTGAGCAATGGAGCAAGGAGAGATAGGGCAAGACAGGAACAGTCAGGTGCAGTGAAAACAGAATGAAGATGAATAGGAGAGTAAGGAAAAGTGAGGGAAAGAGAGAGCCAAAGAAACAGAGAAAGAAAGAAAAAAAGAAGGAAAAACAGAAGGGCATTTTTCCTGTGACGCAGGAAGGAGGACAATATGTGGTGTATATATATATATATATATATATATATATATATATATATATATATATATATATATATATGCATTAAACAATCAAACCTGTAGCAGTCCTCAAAAGTATGAGATGTGAAAGTATGGGATGTAACAGAATACAAATATTCAGAATACGTATTCAGAATAAATAAAAGTTTGTGTTCAGCCCATGTTACATTTAAAAAAGGCAGTATTCAGAATGCAATTACTTTTAAATACTATACACACATATATATATATACATATATATATATATATGTATATATATATATATGCATTAAAGCCAGGTTAGATCAGAAGTCACAATACAAATGTTAATAAGAGCCGTTTTGTCCTTTCAACAAAGTCAAACCACCTTGGGAGCCGCAACATTTAATGTCCAGTATGTGTTAATGTCGTAGTATGGGCCAAAAATATAAACGAGAGCGCAGATTTACTTTGCTCTACTTTAAGCTTCAGCTATAGCCGCTTTCCTTCCATCTCCGCCAGAAAACCTTTCTTCAAAACTAGAAGAGTTTCTTGTAAAATGTTTCAGCATCCGGCTGTTTTACGAGGCTGAAGTCGCTTCTCATTCGCCAGCTTCTCGTTCTAATTTCCCGTTTCACCTTAAATTCTGCCTTAGGCGCCGAATGTAACTGCTGCACCATTTAAGGTGGAACGGGAAAATTCGAAAGAGAAGCGACTTCATTTTCGCAACTTTTTTTAACTCTCGTTGCAGATTTAACCAACCGCGCTGCTTATAAATGCGAATAAGTCCTCCAAATGTTCGTCTTAATCTCTTTTTTTCTGTTTTTCGTTCGCGGCTAGCGAGGCCAGACCTCGGGGCTATGTGACTTGCTGTCTGCTGTCTGTTCTCAGTCGTTGAGAACCAGGGCTTTCGCGCTATGCTGCACACTTTGGAGCCGAGATTCAGCGTCCAGTCTCGAAAATACTCCCCCTCCAACTCTCTACAACGAGACCAAAACCGAAGTTATAAGATCACTAAAGAAAACGGGAAGGATGGCTGTAACGTGCTACGTGGACACCCATTACCACTGGATCTTATTTCAGGGTAACAGCGCATTTTATCGCAGATGAGTGGCAGCAGCGTCTCTGAATGAGAGCCTTCTAGTTCATTTGCCACATCACTTCCATTTGATTTATTAATAAAAGATATTTTAGATATTTAAAGCAAAGTATGTGTAATGATCCATAATGCATTTACATTATGGATCATTACAAATACTTTGCTTTAAAACTACCAAGTCCTCAGACAGTAGGAAGATAGAAATCCTGTATAGAGAAAAAAGATGCATCGATAATCGTTTTATAATCGCATTGCAGCCCTCTGAATCGTAATCGAATCGAATCGTGAGGTGCCTAGAGATTCCCACCCCTAATATATATATATATATATATATATATAGATAGATAGATAGATAGATAGATAGATACACACACACACACACACACACACTATCAATACTTACTGCATCAGTGCGCATTAAAAAACACTGCTTTATTGCAATAACTTTTTTTTATTAAATTATTATTACTTTTAAGATCTAACCTTAATGTGAAATGTTACTGTAAGATCTAAGTTATTGTAAACAATGGTGCCTAACTGTGTTCTGTATTATCTACATAAAAGCTATGCGCAATACAATTTGAACACATTTACCGTTAGGAGGATTATGGCAACTCACAAAACACAAACGCTTTTATAAGACTCCCCAGGTGCATGTATCAAAAACTGTCCCACTTTTGCAGAGACCGGTAGAAGTCTTGCTCAGGGGATTGAACTCATTTGAATAAATTTTCCATTAAATATATTAAAGAATAATTACATTAAGAAAACTGCCAACCAGTGACACAGTGAATTTTGAGTCAAATTAGTTTTTTTCCTATATGTTTTATCAAAATATATTCTAAATGTATTTTAAATGTGCTCTGAATATGTAATATTTTATGTTTTGTAACAGAATATGTTGCTAAATACATTTAGGTCAGTATATCCAGTATTCAGCCATCGCTACTCTTTCAAAGTATTCTGCCCAACTCTACAACTGTGTCATGGTTATCAAGGTTTAATTTTAATACATTATCTTCATCATACTTAATTAGGCTGTATTATTGTGGTGAGTGTAAAGAGTTAGCTGCCATGCTGAACCACCAGGGGGCAAGCTTTAGCTTAGTATTGGACAGAAAAGCTGACCTTTGTTGAATGCCTCAAGGGTTAGTGGGAAAAGAAATAATCATGAAAGTCACCTGCAGTGGACAGGTCATGTACCAATGCCCGCCAAGAAACACTTTTGTATATGCCATGTTTGGAATATGCCACTGCTATTCCAGACAAAACTCTAGATGTCTACAGTAGTGCTGCAGTAATGATGTTTTCCAAAAATGTGCTCATTTTAAATTGCTAGCCTAAACACTTGATTACAGTGTAATCAAATAAAAATGTGCAATTATCTAAATAAAAACTATGTGCAATACAAAAGAACAAGTAGAACTACGCCATTGGCTGGACACTGGTTATGTTGTGGATGTGTAGATGAAAGAGATGTAAGGTATCAGTTTAACATATGATGAAGCCAGATCCCAAGCAGACAAAATACCTGAGATTTCATGTTGTCTGAGCTCATTGTATTTGTAAGCATGTTCCATGGGCCTGATGGAACTGTGATAGATCTTTCTCAGTCTCTGTAGAGCAGCTGGAAAACAGAAAATATATAAGAGAAAGTAAACACTTTATTGTAAAAGAAACTGAGGAATCCAAGAAAGGTATGGATATGGAATAAAGGAATGTACATACAAGCTGTAAAAAGAGAATCTACAGATGAAATTAGAACTTAGATAATATGCATAATGCAGTGTTTCTTATTTGCCTTGATTGAGTTGTTGTTTCTCAAACTCTTTACAATGAACAGTTCTAAAACATATTATCATCATTCTACACCTGAAGGATTCTGACCTGCTCATAAGGATTATTTACATAATATTTAACCTCAAGGCTTCACCTAACACAGGCATGCCTTTTACTCACCTGCATAGTCACCTGAGTTCTCTTCTGCTGCCAGTCTTAATGTCTCCTCAATGTGAGATCTGTCTCTCAGAATGGAGTCTAGAACCTCTTCTTCCTCTGCAAGGAATACACAAATATGTCTCAACCAAAGGAATTGTAAAGAGAATGTTTCCACAATGTTGTTAACCACATATCTCATTTTCAGTCTCATTCTTTATACCAAATCCCACGGCATGTAACACAAAGGAAATCTTCACTGACAATAGTACAGGCCATAATTCACTTGTGTAAACTCCAAATTATTTTTATTTAATACCATGCATGCCCAACGTCTGGTGAAAACTGTCTTTTGTGCATTTCAACTAATATTGTACATTCGTAGAGGACAGACCATTGTCTCTCACACAATGTGGAAAAAGAAGCTCTAAGCTGTCTTCAAATTGGATAATCTTGGAACACAATTGCCTTGGCTTTGATCAGGGCTTTTTGTTGTCCTTCCAAATCAAAAATAAAACCAAGTGATGGCATGATTTGAAGTAGCCATGGTTGCATTGCATGGGGGACTTATTAATGTGGGGGAGTCCCCAGTTTCATAACAGCCCCAAAGCCTCTGGGGCAGCTCCTCTCTCAGATCTCCAGGCTGTACAGTGATTGAAGATAATAGCATCCTACCCCCCCTCTCCCTTCGACTCTAAATATACCCAGCATTGGGAACTCATCAGCCTGTTAGGAATGTTTGTATGTGCCTGTGAACATGTAAGGCTGAATGGTCACTTTATAGTGGGTCTGGAATCAAGTTTCATACTGGCACAATGGGCAGATCTAAAAAATGGGGGTATCTGACCTGTCTTCCCAATTCTCACTTCCATGCTTAGCGGAATGTAGTTATGCTTTGTGGTCATGTTGGTCTCTGGTTACATTTCCCTACCTAGTACAAAATGCTTATGTAAACACATAAGGCATCCCACCAACTTTATCCTAAAATTAGAACCTTACATTCATACATACTTCTTTTGATGTAGGGAGTTAAAATCAAGATACACACTGCCAATGTTCTGTACCATGAACAAAGATATGCTGAACTGCATTTAGGCTTATTAAAGTAAAATGCTGAAATTTGATATGGAGTGTCCAAAAAGAAAGTTTCTATGAGAGTTTTCAGCATCACATAACATGTATTTTATTATAAATATGATTTTTTTTCTCATTTTTGTAAGTTTTATTTTAGAAGAAAATGAAAAGACGTTAACTGTATAGGTACAATACTGTCTACACACTCTCAAAACGAAATCTGTGCCTTTCAGGACACAAATGTTTGTCTCTGGAGTGCTACTTGTAAAGGTGTGTCTTCAGTACCTTTAGTTACTGAAAATAGTTCCATTTCCCATTGCAGTTATTTCTGACTCCATACACCCTGTATTGATGTATTGAAAGTCGGATTTTGAAAAGGTACAAATATGCACCTTTTTTGTGGGAAAGTGAACGCACTGTACCTTTAAACTCATTTAAAGTACATAATTTGACTTTAAGGACCTATGTTGTACATTCTGAGGGTATATTTACAGTGTTTGTACACTGGGAGACAAAAACGTACTTATACTGTGCCCTTTTTTCTGACTAAGATTAAGACACTCTACATTCCTCATAAATTCTTCCTAAAGCTTTGCCAGTGAGGATGTTGCAGTGTTGTTCAGAATAAAACAAGCTAAAGATTGAAAAAGAATTAAACAAGTATGGCATTTCCTATCATGCAGCAATTATTAAAACCATGGTTCTTATTCAAATCAAAAAAATAATTAATTATGTATTAGAGTTAACCACTGGTATGGTTGTTATAAACCCAATTTAGGCCTCATAAACAGTGGTTTACTGCTGAAAATCTGTTGGTGAGAAATAAATTAAATAGGCTGAACTACCTCAGGAGTCAGAAATACCAAAAAGACTGCAGGAAAGGCACACACTGAAAATCAAGCTAAGACTCTGTAGGTTGAGGCAGCATATGATTAGACCCTAACAGTGCTGAGCATTTCACAATAGACTGACGTGTTTACATGCCTCATCATTTAGTCAGTGTTGTTTACTACAAATAGGTATAATATTTGACAATATCATGTTATATTTATATATTCAATAGTTTCCCACTGTTTGGTGTTTGAATTCTGTGACTAAAGAATTGTTGGGCCACTTTTCGCAGCACAGATTAAATTTTGCTCTAGACCACAGGATGGTCAGTGTGGATTGTCAGTAGAGAATCAGTATTAACAGAATACACTATATGCTAGGTGTAATCTGTATGTGGGAAACCGGCCTAATAATAAAAATGACAATTTTAAATGAAATAACAACTAGTCATACTTCATAACAAAGTACATTGTATTCAAAGTTTCAAACACTAATATAGATGTCTAAATGGGATAAATGAAAGTTTGAGGAAACCCTGGCCTTTTATACATCCCAAATAATATTTTGTCTGTGCTTCCAGTTTGCCAATATAACATCTTTTATCATATTTGCAATATTGAAGAACTGGAAAATTTCTTGATAGCTGAAGATTCTCTTTGTTTACATAATTCAGAATGCATAGTGTTGCCAAAAGAGAAACTGCAAAGCCTACAAATTCAGATAGCATACTATAAATGCTTTTTTCCCACTCTGTGATTCTCAACAATGCGACAAAGCTCAAAGCATTTGGCTTATATATGTCACAAAATGTGTACTGGATGGTCAAAATTTCTAATGCAGTCCGTTTTTTGCACAGTGATATTTCTAAAGTATTAGTAACATTATTTGAAAATGTATGTAAATGTTGGAACTTGGATTTTGTGTTCCCCATCATATATATGATATGCAAATTATGTAAGCCCTATATTTAATTGAAAATAGTACAAACACAACATATCACATGTTGAAACTAAGACATTTTATTGTTTTTTGAAAAACATCTGTCCATTTTCAATTTGTTGTGTTGCAACGCTTCTTCTTTTCACAACACTCTGTAAGTGTTTGGGAACTGAGAAGACCAATTGCTGTAGTTTTGAAAGTAAAATGTTTTCACATTCTTGCTTTTTTGTTTCATGATGTGGCAAATGTTTTCAGTAGGTGACCAGTCTGGACTGCAGTTTAGCACCCAGACTCTATTACCACTTAACCATGCTGTTGTAATACATGCCGCATGTGGTTTATCATTGTCTTGCTGAAATAAGCAAGACCTTCCTTGAAAAAGACATCATCTGGATGGCAGCATATGTTGCCAAAACCTGTATATATCATTCAGCATTAATTGTACCTTTACACATGTGCAAGTCACCCATGACCCCATACCAACACAAACACTGGTTTTTGAACTGTGCACTGATAACTTGGGTGGTCTTCAACCCCGAGGACACATTGCCTGTGATTTCCAAAAAGAATTTCAAATTTTGATTTGTCAGAATACAAGACACTTTTCCACTTCACCTCAGTCCATGTGAAATGAGCTTGGGCCCAAAGAAGGCGGCAGCACTTCTGGATCATGTTTATATATGGTTTCTTTTTTGCATGGAGTTTTAACTTGCATTTGTGAATTTTGCAATGGTTTTCAGAAGTGTTCCTGAGCCAGTACAGTGATTTCCACTGCAGAATCATGTCTGTTTTTAATGCAATGTCGATTGAGGGCCTGAAGATCACAGCTAGCCATTATTGATTTTTGGCCTTGTCCCTTGCATACAGAGATTTCTCTGGATTTTCTGAATCTTTTAATGATATTATTATATATTATATATAAATTATGAAATGCCCATGTTCTTTGCTATTTTACATTGAGAAATTTTATTCTTGTATTGTTGCATTATTTGCCTACATTGTTTTTCACAGAGTGGTGAACCCCTTATAATTTTTGCTTCTGAAAGACTCAGCCTCTCTGGGATGCTAGTTTTATAGCGAATCATGTTACTGACCTGTTGCCTATTAACCACCAGGTCTTTTTTTTTTTTTAGCATTACACAAATTTACCAGTGTTTTGTTGCCCCATCCCAACTTTTTTGAAATGTGTTGTTGGCATCAAATTCAATATAGACATATGTTTTTCCAAAAACAATAAAATTTCTCAGTTTCAACCTTGCATATGTTGTCTTTGTACTATTTTCAATTTGATATAGGGTTTAAATGATTTTCATATCACTGCATGCTGTTTTTATTTACATTTTGCACATTATATATTTTTGAAACTAATTTACTGACTATATAATCTCCAAGCTCTAAAAATATATACAATACAGATGACCTGCATTCAATCAAAAATTTCAGCTTTAATCAAATTACTGACAGTGTAGTATCACATATTTGATGAGCTTTAAACATGTTTCTAAGGTACTAGTTTGCTATTATTAAGAGATCTTGATATTAAAAGGTTGAAGATAAGAGTCAATCCACAATGGAGACTTCAGTAGGATTTAGCAACTTGATCATATTCAGGAATCAAAAATATTTATTTATTTATTTATTTATTTATTTATTTAAACCAGATGCTTTAGACCACCATTCCCTTTTTTCTTTTTTACAATGCTGTAATTTAGATCATTTAGCCAGTTTGTATTTGTTCTTCTAGTACACTGTAGATATGGTGCGAAAGGGGTCATAAAAAATTGTAGTTTATCTTTTGAAATATATTCATTCTAAATGGTCACCTCGTTTTTTCAGAAGCTGTACAAAAGGTTATCAGTTGGAAAGAAATGTAAATTTGACATTTTTTCTTTTACCATGTAGTAGTGATGGAGCAGTTCTATACATTAATCAAAATTGAATTTTGTTCCATGCAAGCACTATTTTGTAAGTACTTATTTAATAATAAAAGTATTTGCTTTTTCAAAACATGCTAGATGTGTCAGGTTAAGACTTTGTTCCCATGTGCCACAGCCTATAGATGTTTATTCCAGCCCTTATTTAACACCATTCAAACATTAGAAATATTGAACTTGGCCTAGTTTCCCTGAAATATCATTGTGTTAAATGTTAGAGAGTGTATTCATACATTTTCTGAATGAAGAACCTGATCTATTTTTCTAAAAGCTTTGTTTATGCATACAATGTTTATAAAAATGGAGACTGTCAACCAACTCAAAAGGATTCTGTTTTCAAAT